ATTTTTTAATCTGTTCACAATACCTGGATGGATCAGAGACTGAAACATTTATTCTTTAAAAAAAAAACAATGGAACAATTAATAAACGATGATTCTATGCCATCAAGTCATTGTTGACTCTTGAATACCACATTAAGTATATTTTCTCCATGACTACCTTGATCTTTCAGGTCTTCCGATGATGCACTCTTCACCACTGCAACTGAGTCTACTTTGCTGTTAGTAATAGCAATAGCACTTAGACTTATATACCGCTTCACAGAGCTTTACAGTCTTCTCCAAGCAGTTTACAGAGTCGGCATATTGTCCCCAAACAATCTGGGTCCTTGTTTTACCAATCTCGGAAAGATGGAAGACTGAGCCAACCTTGAGCGGGTGAGACTTGAATTGCCATTCTGCAGGCAGCTGGCAGTCAGTAGAAGTAGCCTACAGTACTGCATTCTAACCACTGCACCACCACCAACTGTTAGTTGTTCTCTTTTATTTCCCTCCACCTTTCCAAGCATTAAAAATTTCTCCAGAGAGCTAGGTCCTCAAATAATGTGTCTGAAGTAGGGACATTTTTGAGCCTAGTCATTTGATGCTCAAGAGACAACTCTGGGTTGATTTGTTCAATGGTCCATGACTTTGTTTTCTTGACTGTTTATGATTTTCTCAGGAGTCTTCTCCAACACAAAAGTTCAAAAGAACAATTAACTCTTCCTATCCTCCTTCTTCAAATTCCAATTTTTGCTTCCATAGAATATCACAAGAAAAAATATAAAATCCACTATCACAGTGTTGGCACTAAAAATTAAGCTGATTACAGAAGGGCATTAAATGGATGCTAGGAATAACAGGGATGTCTTATGTCAGGAGAGAAAGACATGCAGAGTCTATAATTGAGAAGGTCCACTGCCTTGTGGGTGGCCATCCCCTTTCAACTATTTGTAGCATTTAAAATTGTTAAACTCCCTGTTCTCACTCCCATTTTCCAAAAAAGGCATTAAACACGCCAGTTAATTAGAGTTAGAAGGGACCTTGTAGATCTTCTAGAATCTAGTCCAACCTCCCACCCAAGTAGGAGACCCTACGCCATTTCTGACAACTGACAGCCCAATCTCTTCTTGAAAGCCTCCAGTGATGAAGCTCCCACAATTTCCGAAGGCAAGCTGTTCCACTGGTTGATTGTTCTCACTGTCAGAAAATTTATCCTTATTTCTAGGTTGAATCTCTCCTTAATCAATTTCCATCCATTATTCCTTGTCTGGCCTTTGGCTGCCTTGGAAAATAGCTTGTCCCTCTTCCTCTCTGTGGCAGCCCTTCAAATATTGGAACACTGCTATCATGTTTCCCCTGGTCCTTCTCTTCACTAGACTAGCCATGCCCAGTCCCTGTAACTGTTCTTCATATGTTTTAGTCTCCAGTCCCCCAATCATCCTGCTCTTCTCTACTCTTCTCTTTTTCTAGAGTCTCAGCATCTTTTTTATAGTGTAGTGACCAAAACTGGATATAGTACTCTAGGTGTGGTCTTACTAAGGCTTTATAGAGTGGTCTTGATTGTATCCCTCTGTTAATGTAACTTAGGATTGCATTGGCTTTTTTTGGTTGCCACTGCATGCTATTGGCTCGTATTTAACTGGCTGTCCACTAAGACTCCAAGATCCCTCTCACAGTTACTGCTATTAGGACTAGTTTCACCCAGTCCAGTGGTGGGATCCAAAAATTTTTACTACTGGCTCTGTTGTTGTGGCTTGGTGGGCGTGGCTTGGTGGGCATGGCAGGGGAAGGTTACTGCAAAATCCCATTCTCTCCCCATCCCACTGACCTGATTTCCAGCTCCATTCTCCTGTGCAGGGCAACAAAAGAAGACCCAGCCGATCAGCTGGGACTCGTGAGGCAGAGAATAGATGGGGGTGGGCCAGTTAGAGATGGTATTTGCCGGTTCTCTAAACTACACAAAATTTCCGCTACCGGTTCTCCAGAACCGGTCAGAACCTGCTGAATACCACCTCTGACCCAGTTTATATGTGTACTTTTGGTTTTTCTTGCCTAAGTCTCTTGACTGCAGGAAATACAACTTCAGCAACAGCAACAGTGGTCAATGTCTGGAATACTCTACCTGACTCTGTGGTTTCTTCCCCAAACCCCAAAAACTTTAACCATAGACTGCCTACTATTAACCTCACCCCCTTTCCTAAGAGGTCTGTAGGGGGCGTGCATAAGCGCACCAAAGTGCCTACCGTCCCTGTCCTATTGTTTCTTTTATTTTTCTTATATGTACCCATTTTGTGTATTCATAACTATGCATATACTTATACCTGTTATCTTGTGAGCGATTGACAAATCAAAATAAATAAATAAATAAAATAAAGTCTAAGACTTTACTTTTCTCCACACTGAATTTCATTTTGTTGGATACAGCATAGAAAGATGACAACATACAAAGCACAAAAATCCCCAAACACTTTATTGTTGTGCAAATGCAGCATATTACTAAGTAGGTAGTTAAATATATTTTCATGCAAGTGCATGTTACTAGAAGGCCTTTTTTTTCTAAATGTGCTATCATCTATCTAACTTACTAGTTATTTTTTTTCTCCTAAGATTTCTTATAATCAAAGCAATTCTTCAAACTATGTTATTTTATTTGTTTCCGCTGAATGTATTGGTGCCACCAAAAAATACACGTGGATTAAAAATGTCATTTAAAAAAGGATCACCAGCATCTACTGCCTCTCTAGAATTTCTCCAGGTACTTCAAGAAGACAGTGAGGTTACTTCTGCTGATTAATATTAACTTTGAATAATGATCAATTTTTTGGAAAAGAATGGATTGAATCCGGGAATGTTTTGAATCCAGATCCTCTGTGACATAGACTTGGATATTGAGGGTAGGATTTTTATTTTCATATTAGCCTTTTATTTTAGTCTTTTAGCCTTTTAGTATTTTAGTCTTTTAGCCTTTTAGTATTTTAGCCTTTATTTTAGTCTTTTAGCCTTTTATTTTGGGACATAATTTGGATTTTGCATTCCCTGCATAGAACTCCAGGACCCGTATAAGAAGGGCAGCTAAAAAAAGAAACTCAATTCCAAAACAAATAAACCTGTCCATAGATATCATTCTCCACGTATCTGCATTATCCAAGATAAAAAGTTTGGTGCCTCTTCATTGATGTTCTCTCTTGGTGACTTGCTCTGTTCTCACCGCATGTAGTTACACCTTTCTGATATCATAAAAATCTTTTTTCACCAAGTTTTTGAATACGTTTGTATTTTAAACCCACATCCTATATTGCCTGTATTGTACATTTTGCTCCTTGTTGAATCATTATTGTTTTGTAACACTTTTGTTCACATACCTAATAATGACACAAAATACTGCGTTGAATAATAAATGGGAGAGTGCATCTGTATTTAAATTTTTATGTGTGTTTTTTCTCATAAGAATTGTGTTCTCTGCACATGCCCAGGGCTCTCTACGCACACAGAGACACACTAAAATGATTTTGGAAAAAAATGCTTTGAATTTTGAAATTGTGATAGGTTTTACGTTTCTGCAAATTTCACAATATGAGAAGATAGTTTTTCTTTTTTAAAAAAACCACAAATCAGGCACTTTCCATTATAGAATCCAAGCACAGAGAACACAGGAGTATATATTGAGCTAAAAACCATCAGATTGATTGGATTTCTTGTTTAAACCCAGGAATTGGCTTCTCAAAGCTGAAAGATTCACCTCCAGCCACTTTCTGTTGGTTAGTGAAGAGTGGAATGGGTGCATCCAAAAAGCCATTCACTGGGTTATAAACAGGCTATGAAATAAACCTTAGCTTAAGAGGAGAAGTAGAAATGAGAGAGTGAGGCTGAGTTTGTCCCTAATGTGTTCTTATCTCCCAGGCAGGGTCAAAGCCTTCATCTTATTAATTATGATATCCTGACTGATTGCAAAGTTCTACTTTGAGGGCTGCTACTTTCTCTTCAATAATTCAATTGAGTATTTCACGTGACTTCTTCTGTGACAGATGCAGAATGACAGGTTCCTGCTTTCTCTTGCTGATCTCCTGGCTTGCTAGAGATCAATGACATTTTTTTCAGAGTTGAAAGCATCAGGGGAGAGTCATTCCTTCCCTTTACATAACTCCATCTATTTTTCATCTGTATGCCCCCACCCGCAATCGCCCCCAAAGAGTACTGCTAGCGATACTTGGAGCTAGATTCATTTCAAGCAGCACTGGGAGATAGAGAAGTTGAAAAAAACAAGCTGCATTCTGCAGAGATTCGAAAGGAAGGGGGGGAATGTATATCCTCTCCTGGGAGGGCTAATAAATGCCATTCCTGCATATTGGAGCAGAGGTAGTTAGGGGGACAAATAAGTGCTTCCCATTTCAGAACATAAGCAAGTTCTACTTGTTTTTCCAGATCTCGTGTGTGTGTGTGAGAGAGAGTATTTTCTTCCACTTTGAAAAATTTAACCATCCCTATTGCCCACTGTTTGCAAAGAAAAAAAAAAAGCATCTTCTTTCTTAATTGGGGTCATTTTAAGCCACCAAAACCTTCGGCTAACACATTGGGCAAATCTCCCAGGAACCCATGCTTGTGCTTACAGCCTCTTCATGACAATACAGGCCTCCTTGGAGAAGCTGAAGGAGAAGGATGCTCCTCCTCCTCCTCCTCCCTCCCTCCCCCCAATTAAGCACAAAAGCCAAGGTGGGAGGAAACTCAACCATTGGGGTGAAATGGAGGAGAGAACTGGCTTCTCAAGGGAAGGATTGCTTAAGATCTTTAGCCACCCAGAGATGACTGGCGTAACTTCAGTTGTACTAGAGGCAGTCAGTCCCACTTCTTTTAAATCCTAGAGCTAGCCCCATGGCCTCAACAGTTCTGATACATTGCAAGGCTACATGGTAGGGAAAGGACAAATATATCCAAGAGCTTCATTTCGCCACAGCAAACGTGTGTACATGCACATGTTTGCGTGTGCGTGCACCTGTGCATGTTGCTAAGTGTTAAGGGAGCTGTCACTTCTCCTTCTGCTGGTGATAGTCACTTCCCACACTGAGCACAGGAATAAGCAGTCCAAGCAGCCATCTCTTCCCAAAGACCTCCTCGAGATTCTTCTTCCAGGGCTGGCCTTTGGCTGCCATCCCCTTCCGCATCTGGTAACGTGTTTGGCCTCGCAAGATCAGCAACATTTGGTGGCAACAGAAGCCGGCACAGGCAAGTCCAATCCCCAGCCAGAGGTATAGCATGAGGATAACAAACATCTCTGAGCTTAGAAGAGCTCCTGCAAATGCCAATGAGAAAAAAAGAAAGCGAGAAAGAGATGGGTTATTTTATCAATTCTTTTGCACTGCAGACATTCAGCCAGGAATTGTCAGGTTGATGATATCTAACTATATGTGTTCATATTGTATATCAACATTTCCTAATCTACTCCTCACAAAATGTGTTGGATCACAACTTCCAGCCAGCATTGCTATTAGTCATTCCGAGTGAAGGTGGGTGGCAATTTTTATCCAACACTTCAGTCTTGTGATTGTATATTAGTGGTCAGAAACCAAATAAAAGCACATGAATGTGAATCAGATAGAAATAGGAATGGAACTGACTTAGAACATAGAATAATAGTTGGAAGGGACCTTAGAGGTCTCCTAGTCTAACCCCTTCTCAAGCAGGAGACCCTACACCATTTCAGACAAATGGTTGTACAGTCTGTTTCTGAAAGCCTCCAGTAATGGAGCACCCACAACTTCTGAATGCAAACTATTTCATTGGTTAATTGCTCTCACTGTGATGAAATTTCTTAGCTTTTGGTTGCTTCTCTTCTTGGTTAGTTTCCAACCAGTGGTGGGATTCAAAATTTTTTACTACTGATTCTGTGGGCGTGGCTTGGTGGGCATGGCAGGAGAAGGATACTGCAAAAGTCAGAGGTGGTATATGCTGGTTCTCTGAACTACTCAAAATTTCCCCTACCGGTTCTCCAGAACCTGCTGAATAACACCTCTGTTTCCAACCACTGTTTCTTGTCTCACCTTTTGGTGCTTTGGAAAATAGTTTGACAGCCCTCATCTTTGTAGGAGCCCACAGTCCTAAACCAATAAATGGAAGAATGGAAAGGCAGAGCCATTTGGTTGCCAATTTTACTAAAACCGTGAACATCCCAAAATATTGGTTGACTACATGGACAAAGTAGTCATATTGATATTGTCTGAAGTGCTGGATGCATCTAACTGAAAGGAATGAAAGATAATACAAAAATGAACCTTAACCTGAATATCAGTGTTCTCTGGAAGTTGGCTTGATGATATCAGTAAAGAGTAATTGAGAAACATCCACCCATTACAATTGCCACAGTTATGCTACTTTCCTGTCCAGACTGACATTCCCTGAGGTAACTTTAAAGGCCACCAGCCAGTGCCAGAACCCTAAGTGAATGATGTCATCCATTCATTGACTTTCTCCTACCACAGAAGGGATAGATCACTCTTCTCAGCATTTAAATCACTTGCTGGCAGATTTGAGATTAGGTAAAGAACTATAGCCAGTTCCCCTTAAAGAAAAACAACAAGACCCCCCAGAAAATACTGGTTTGCAGGGTCAGCCCCCAAGTTCACCACTATCACACAGTATCATACCTATCATTAACCAACACTATCAAAGTACAGGGAGTTCTTAACTTACAATAGTTTCTTTAGTGACCATTCAAAGTTACAACGGCACTGAAAAAAGTGACTTAGGACCATTTTTCACAGTTACAACTTTTGCAGCATCCCCATGATCATGTGATCAAAATTCAGAGGCTTGTCAAATGGCTCATATTTATGACTGTTCCAGTGTCCCGGGGTGACCTGATCCCCTTTTACGACTTTCTGACAAGTAAAGTCAATGGGGAAGCCAGATTCACTTAAGAAACCATGTTACTAACTTAACAATGCAATGATTCGCTTAAAAACTGTAGCAAAAAAAGTCATAAAATGGGGCAAACCTCACTTCACTTGAGCCACGGTGGCACAATGGTTAGAGTGCGGTACTGCAGGCTACTTCTGTTGCCTGCTGGCTGCCTGCAATTTGGCAGTTCAAACCAGGCTCAAGGTTGACTCAGCCTTCCATCTTTCCGAGGTGGGTAAAACGAGGACCCAGATTGTTGGGGGCAATAGGCTGACTCTGTAAAACCACTTAGAGAGGGCTGGAAAGCACTATAAAGGACTATATAAGTCTAAGTGCTATTGCTATTGCTACTAACAAATGTCTCACTTAACAACAGACATTTTGGGCTCAATTGTGGTTGTAAATTGAGGACTACCTGTATATGCCCCAGAGCACTCCTCCTCATGCTGTGTTATCTCTCTTCTTTATATCCTCAATGTTAAATGCTGAAAGATCAACACTTGTTTTGCCCTCTCCTTCTGGATCTAATAGAAACAGGCAAGCTGTTGGACAATCATGGCAAGGCAGAATATGCAGGGATATTCAGAGGCATTCAGTCACTGCTGGTTTGCAGAGCATAGCTTGCCAGTAGCAGACTTGGAAACAGATGTAAGCTACTGATAGCTAGTTATCCCACTACAGTGAGCAGAGTTTAAAATATATTATATTATCTCCTTCCCAAATAGCTAGGAGGGGAGAAAAGTATAAAATTGAAGTTGTAATGAGAGCCAGTTTAGTGTAATGGTTAAGACTAGACACTGAGATGGTGAGTTCTAGTTTGACTTTAGGCACAAAGCTACCTGGATGACTTTGGGTTAGCCCTACGAAGGAGGCAATGGCATTTCTGAAAAACCTTGTCAGGAAAACATTCAAGAAAATCTCTGACAACTGGATCCAATTGAATACAAGAGAAAGAAAACAATATAAACACCCTGAAAGGAAATAGCCCTACAGAACGTAACTCATTAATACACATTTTAACCCCAGTGGAGCTAACCTACAGGTATATTTGCATAAGGTTGTCTTATACATATTTTATTTTCCAGCATTCTCTTGATTATAATTTAATTAGAGTAATTTTCAACACAAGCAGTCAATTCAGGTAAATATAATTCATTTTCAGTTACAGCAACTAGTGTAAAAAAAAGGAGAGGATTCTTGCATCTTTCATAGTTCAATTTCTGCTGAATTTCTCCTTTCTGTACAATTATTAATGATGTAGAAATCTAATAGAAGATAATATATTTTCCTCTAAAGTCCTTGGTACTCTCTGAGCTTGGTTATTTGCTCACATACTGGACTAATACTGCAGTATCATCAGTGCAAGTAATTGTTGAGTTTGCTCTCTGTTTATATACAATTGCTTGCCCTGCCAGTATTGGTGGGAGTATGGTTTTCTCCTTGGTAGTTCTTCTTTGATTAGGATATTGTTTTCTGCTTGATTGTTTGTCTGGTGTTAATCCGTGCTAAACTAGAGAAAATGTGTTCTTGTCTATTTGTTTCCTTCTTTGCTTTCTTTATTGTCTTTTGAATGGTGTACACATAATCCCTACTCATCTGGGTGTTGGCTGTTGGATAGGATGTGTTTTGGTCTCTTTATTTCCTACTTAGCTTTTTTATTGTCTCTTTTGAATGCTGTGTACATGTGAATAAACCCAGATAAGCAGGGATTAGCACCTAACAAACAATCAAGCAGAAAACAATATTCTAATCAAGGAAATACCAAGGAGAAAACCACACTCGCCAACATTGATAATATTACCTAATCAGATAATGAAATGTTGGCAAATAAACAGCCATGCTCGGAGAACACCTAAGACTTCATAGCTTTTTTTCTTTGCACTTGGCTACCCTAAACTGCTAATGTATCATATTTTACTATGGACAGTCTTATATTTAACTTTGTCTTCTTTTAAAACAACTGACTGATCTAAATGGGCATATAAAAAAGAATGACAAGAAAGAGAATCAGGAATTCTGAAATCAATTTTTTGGAGCCAGCAGCTGTACAGCAGATTCAGCCACGAGAAATTCTTTGATCCCAGTTTAATATTGATACCTACTTAGTTTGTCTTATAGTAATGATTTCTATATTTGCATATATAATAAAATTCACAGCATGAAGACATTCTGCAGTCTTAATGTCCTCACTTTTTAAAGTGATAGGTTTCTTTCTTCTTTTTTTGCATTTCTTAAAGTATCATTTGATTGGGTAAGTAAAGGGGAGAATTCCAATTTACAGATTTTCTGCACAAACTCTGTAATCTCTAGAAAGAATTAAATAGAAACATGTGGCATATGACATGTTGCAAGCAGCATTATCTCCTTTGAAGCAATCAGGAGATGTTCAATGTTGCTGCATTTAATTCCTCATTTTGGGACTCAGCTAGATTGCCAGATATGCTAAGCTTTGACAGTTTGAGGCTGAGATATTAATTCTACTACAGACACATGTGAGCTAGACTGGAGAGTACAAACAATTGGGTCTGGAGACATTTTGCACATTAACACTGAATTATCTGTAAGAAGCAATGAAGATACAATAGAAATAGACTTTTTCTGCTTGCTTTTGTCATGCTTCAGCATCTTTTCTATGATCTTGTAATAGCCACATTTCTCATAATTACTACCACTACTACAGCCATTCCAACTCTATCACATGCTGATGCCCCGTAGCTTCTTGTTGCCGCACCTTTCAGCTTTCAAGTCTTCTGGAGAACTGTCCTGCTGTGGACCACTCTCCTGCACAGTGATTTAAAAGGGAAACTTCAAAGTGAAAGTTTTAATTAAGAAGTTTAATTCATTCTGAACAGTGATCAA